CCGATGAGCCACACATGGATCCTGTGGCGAGCACAGCAGCCTCAAGCATGTCCATAAGGGCGGTTTGGTAGTGAGCCCCTTGTCCAAGGCTCCCCATAAGAGCCTTCTTTGCCGTCGCGGAAGCCACCTGGAGCGACCCCAACACTGCTTCCACAATGTTGTGTGGCCCTTTCTTGTTGCGGCTAGTGTTGTAATTGTAAGAGTCTGCATCCACCGCGTCCATGAGACGTTTCATGCCGATAGTTGTCTCGTCAGTCAGCGCAATCCCAAAGAGACAACAGAGCAAGCGAAAGCAGGCTGTGGCTGACTTCATTCCTCCAACCGCTTTGTCCTTGGAATCCCATTCGACACCCTTCAGCAGCACTTTTGAAAGAAAGGATATGGCTCCCACATCCAGGGCCTCAATCAGCTGGTCCAGCAGCTCATTAGATGCTCCCGATGGATGTTGCCAAGCAAACATGAGCACAGAAGCCACCGTTTCCAAAACTCCCAGGCACCGAGGAGCTGTATCACCACGGATACTCGAAGGTGACAACATCGAAGCGTCATTGGACGCCAAGAGCAAGGGAGAGACGACCTTACGAGTCTGAAGCTCCATGATTGCTTCGGCGGAACAAGTCGTAAGAGACGCCAGAATGATTCCGGCACATTCTCGCATTCTAGATGCTGGTGTATCTGCAGCAGAGCCCAAAGACTGTGCAGCCGTTGACTGAAGAAGCTCGAGAGCTGCATCAATGGTTCCCTCTATAGAAGCGTAAAAAAGTGAAATTAGCAAGAATGAAAAACAATGCAGGCATTCAAACCAATTATTGTACTCACCCTCATTGAGCAAAAGAAGAGCCTCCTTCAGTTTGGCTGGAGCTCCTACCATTTCTAGACCTTCCTCGTACTTTCCGCCCGCCCATGCTCTTCCTATTTCGCCAACTGCCAACACAACAGCCGCAAGAGTCTCCATAGCGGACTTTTTCAGTTCCACGGGGCGTCTCACGTGCTGACGCACAAGGGAAAGCAAAGCTGGCAAACAGGCACCAGTTGCAATTTCCAACGCTGCCTCCCTGCAGGCACCCATTCCATCATTGTCCGACCTCCAGTCGTACTGCGATGGCAGGCTGGCAGTTGCCGCTGCTTGACTCAAGAGAGGCCCAACCAAGGAAGCAACAAAATCACAGCCCATACCGGCAACAGCATTATCGGCGGAAATCAAGAGCTGCGACACGGACGAGCCGCAACCGCCCCCGGCAATCAAGGCACGGACAATCTCCCCGTCCTTTGTTTCGGAACCACCTGGTTGGCCACCAGTCATTTCAGCCAAGGCTGCACGGCTGTTGTCCATGATTCTTGTGCTCGACAGGATAGCCTGACAGGCAGCAACGGCATGTGCTCTTGTATCCGCGTCTTCCGCGCCAATTAGACTACACAGGATCATGATTCCACCAGTGGAAACTAGCTGGTCCAAGAAGGAGTTGTATTCCAAGTCATCGGGAGCCTGGCCCGAGGCAACAGCTGCAGCCACTTCATTCACAGCCATTGTCGCGCGCCTTTGATCCTCCAACACCAAGTGATGAATAGTAGAGGTGGACCAACGCTGTAGATTTGGATTTTTGGAAACGGAGCAGTGATCCAGCATATTTCGGAGTGCTCTCGGCAAGTCAATGGACTCCACTCCACCAAACTCTTCGCCTTTGGCAGTCAGCTGTTCGTGCTTCCTCTGCAACGATGCTAGAATTTTGCCCTCGGTCAAGTAGAACATGGCTCTGGCAGCCTGTTCCTGAATAAAAAGGGTTCGTCGGTCGTTTCCAGTCCGTTCGAGCAATTCCATGATGCTTTCGATAGCCCTTTTACCTCCGTGCAAAACGATGGCATGGGTGTAATCCTTTTTTCCCGCAATGCTCTCCAAAGCCAACAAGGAAGCAACGGCCCGAACAGTCCGGTCCGCGGTTTCTCTCGAGTAGAGGTGTTCGATCAATGCCGGAACAAAGACATCCGGAGGAATTGTCACCTTGTCCTCAATGGTGGTGGATGGATTGTTCAACATTTGATCAAAATCCGAAGTCAAGGCACACAAAGCGGCATTGACATTGGACGCGGAAGCCACACCTTCCTCATGATCCACAGAAGCTCGTCCCGGCTTGTAGAGCAGCACGGGTGTAAAGTAACGTCGGAGACTGAAAAAATTTCCCTTTTCAATGTCTTGGTTACAGAAATCACACACTCGCACTGGCTTTTCAAACTCGGGACCTTCCAGAGGCAGATTGACACGGTGCGACGAACAAGTGTCGCAAAACACATCACCACACAAGCGACAGTGATGACGGCGTTTGGACATGGTGAAGATTTCGTCGCAATGCGAACATTCCGGACGCAAAGCATCTTCCACTTTTTTGACCGAGAATTCCAGTTTGGGCATGGAATCGGAAAAATCCGCCTGTTCCTGATGCCACTGATGTGGTTGCGCGTAGCTTTCATTGTAGTAGGATGAAGGAGCATTGTAAGAAGAAGTACTGCTGCCAAATTTTGTGGGAGAAGATGCCGACGTCGCCGCGGCCGACTGCGACATGATCTGCTTCAACGAAGAAGAGGAAGTAGCCACAGTGGCTGGAGCGTGCGACACGGCAGCAGGAGTACTCTTCTGTTTCGTGGGTTTTGTCCAGGTAGTGATTTTGCGCTCATGGTCTACATAGAAAGGTTTTCCAGAAGTCGGATCCGTCATCATTTCCCAATTGGCGGGCAGGTCGTCATCGTCGTCATCTTGACGCGTTTGGTAGGGATTCGGCGGCGGAGCCACCACTTCCTCTTCAATCCAATTGTCCGGTTTATCCCATTGCGTCTTTCGTGTCAATCGGTTGGCATAGAAAGTCCTGCCGCTTTTCGGATCCACGCTCTTCACCCAACCCTGTTGAGCGGCTGGATTGGTACCAGTACTCATCGTCAGCGTAATAATATCTCAAAAACTTTATTTCCTTTTGCTCCAAGTATCGTTCTTTGTTAAAATGATTGACTTTCGGCGGCTGTCACCAACAACACGATACCAATGCAGCTGGTGGGAATGACCATGGAAATATCTTTCTTCTTTCTTGGGTCCAATGTTTCGTGCTTGCGAGTTTGCAGCAGGCTGCCGGTCGTGTGCGCAACCAAAAATCTTGACCGTTAAAAGACACGACACCATGACGATATCGATGACAATGCTGACCAGAGATAGTCGCAAGACGATGCTACCAGGATTCGCTAACCACTCCAGCTGGCTAGTCGCTACGCAGCTACAGTGTCAGAGCTCGTGGGGGCCTATTTGCCAGCAGCTCTCCAGTCAGATCTAGCTAGCTAGCTACCTAGTAGTGGTAGCTTGGTTTTGGCTCGGTGGTGACCCACCAGTAGTTCTTTTGTTGCAGAAGGCAGCTGGCTAGGGAAGACAAAGCTCAACAGTGTGCCACTAGACTGCAATCACTTGAGTGACACAAGTATACGTACAAAGGTACAACTGAAGATGATGTTTAGAGATCCAATGGAGCGGCTACACCTCAAGGGCCTCTGCTTGGTGTGAAAAGCAGCGTGCAATCTTATCTGCCTCCACAGCAGTCTTGCAGCCCTTGTCTCATCCAGCTCATTTGCTGACATGTAGCTAGAAAGAGCGAGTCCAGGGAAAGAGAGGAGTACGAACGAGTCGAGTGACAGTCGAGCCCAGATAGGTGCTCAAGAACCTGCACAAAAAGCAGCAAAAGTGCAAGGCCCATAATATGACTTGGGATCAACTGGTGTGGAAAATGACCTAGCAAGCTGTGTGGACTCGACTCAAGTAGACTCCACTAGCTAGCAAATCCTTAAGTTCGAAGACTTGCTTAGCACTCTAGGATTGCAGCCGTGGTTCCTTGAAGGGTAGCTGGGCAAACAGTGGTGGATGGTGGGAAGTACACTCGCTGTAGCTGGTAACGGAGGTGGGTCGGACAAACTCAAAACTGCTATGCACAGTTTGCAGCTCAGAAAAACAAACCTTGGTTGAATTATGTTTGTTTCTAAATGTATGCTCTGAGCGTAGTGTGCTTTTTGTACAGTTCCGTGAACCAGAGAGAGGCGCTGTAGGTTGCTGCTTTGGAGAAGAATGCCACCAGTTCGGTGGCACCTGAACCCATCTTACCTATCTCTCACATCGTTATTGATTTTGTGTGTGTATTATTGCATATCACCGGAATAGCTTTCGTTCCAGGTCTTGAATGGCATCATGAATAGCGCTCTGAACCTCTTCGTGTGTTTCTTCCCTACGTTTACATATATCTTCCCAGCTGTCTGTTGTGTACAGCTGTGTGACATCCTCCACAAGACATGCCTTGGCGTCGACACTGTTGTGGTAGCTGTTATTGTCACCATTATGATGATCTCGGAATCCATTGAGGACCCGAAGATTTCCCAGAAATCCGCCGCCACGATTCTGAAGTTGTTGCATGGCCTGATACCGCAGTGGGGCATATAGGGCGACAATGTAGGTTTGCTTCTTTCCCCATTCTTCGTAGAGCAGGGGCTTATCTACGGCGGCTTCGCAGGGATCCAAATGCACCCATCGATGATCTTTGCTATCGCCAATGAGGACTTCGGCCCATACATGATCGGCCCAATCGACCACCCAGCGAGCATCGTGATTGAGGGCTCGGAGGAATCGGTACAACAAGAGACTGTATTCACCGCAGCGTCCTCGTTGACTCTGGATGATATCAAATGCAGAATTGTATCGCGGGAATCGTGTAAAGCTGCGACACTTGTGGCAGTGATAGAGTTCGGTGCGACTGGCTTTGCCCACCGCTTCGTATTCATCGGTGTAAATGTATCCCAAAAAGGTAGACTGATCATCATCGTCGTCGTCATCCTCCTCTTCGTCCAAATGCTGGTGATTGGCGAGATCATCCTTTTGCGATGCTCCACAGGCATCACATCGATCGTAGTAGTATGGAAAGTGATTTCGAAACCATTGCAAAAAGTGATGCATGAGTTCTAGTTGTGCCGGTACTGGTAGCGTGTGGAACCTGGATGCTTGCAACATGAGGGTCTCCGACACACCATAGTGATCTTCTAGCCATTTGACCAAGATCCGATGATCGCTTTGTTCGTCCGAGGAGGGATCTTGTGGTTGCCCATATCGATTGCGTTGTTTAGCCCGGACCAGAGACGATCGATATCTGGCATCGGGTGGAGTCCGTTCATCGTGCAGTTCATCCTGTAGAATGGCAACTAGTCGGTTGGCGTATAGATCGAGCAAATCTCGAAATCCTCCTCTCTTTTTGTGCTGTTGTTGTCGTGAATTATTACTAGCAATACCATTGGCTTCCGTGGTGGTCGCCGTGTCGGTGCCATCAAGGTCATCGTCCGCGTCGCTTTGGTACACCGCTAGCAGTTCGGTGCGATCCGTAATGAGACGTCGTTCTTTCCACAGTCGTCTCCAGAACTGTCGGCAGTCTCCTTCTTCTGAAGGATGGTTTCCATCAGCAAGCAGAACGTTGGTAGTGACAATCTGAGCTCTTGGATTCTCCAGTGTCATGTGGTTGTATTCCAAAAAGGCCACGAACTTGCGTCTGGAAGTATTCAAGCCCACCCAGCTTTGTTGCGTGGCAGGATCGACGTAGGTATGAACAACCACTCTTGTGGATTTAAGCTGCTGCTGCTGCATTATTTGCTGCTGTGCTGCTTCTTCTTCTTCTTCCGCCATGGTAGTGTCTTCCTCTTCTTCTAGCAAAAGACTACTACTACTGCTGCGAGTAGTTCTGGTGGGTTGATGCATCATTTGCAGCTGCAAATGGACACTCTGTTCTTCCTCTCCATGATGATTGCTGTCGCCATTGCATCCATTTGTAGTCTCTGCTGGTTCGTGGGAATGATGATGTTGTGTGGGAAGATTATCCATGGGCATGGGCATGGCACTGGAAGACTCGGTAATGTACACATTGCTTCGCAGCTCTTGCTGTTGTTGTGGCTGCTGCCGCAGTATATCTTGCGTGGCCGTTGTCGGAGACGTCGTGACGAGTACTTCCTGATTGCCATTGGATTTCTTTTGCTGTTGCTGTGTTCTTCGAGGGAAAATACTCGCCAAGCTAAAGGCAGCGACACCTGGAGGAGTCGAATCTCGGAATGGAAAGGCACAGGCAATGGATACTACCAGTAGAGCGTGCAGCAACATACAGACCTTTCTCCGTCGTCGCCTCTGTGGACATCGCTCTGACATTGGCATGGTTGCGATTAATTTCTTGGTATCTGTCAAAGCAGGACAATCGCTTATTATAGACGGAACTAACTGGCGCTACTGGTACTATTTTATGCACTGAGGGTAGCCTATCTTGGCATCAAATCAAACAGATAGATCTTGGATAATGTGATCCATTTCTCAGCTCAGCTTATTGGGGCAGGCAACAAACCAAAGAAGCAATCTGGATCGAGATCGATGGAGCTGCAGAAGAATTGTATTAGGTGGCAAACGTTTGTCACCCCGTTTGTTCTGAGTGTGAGAGGAATGGTCGGAAGCACTTACAAATCCCAAGCGCTGATTGGTTGAAAGAACGGCAGAAACGTGGCGTGGAAGCTGCGAAAAGAATAAAATAGCCAAATAACTGTAAAAAAAACTCTTAAAAATTGCATTTGCATCTTATACTACCACAAATTTGTCCCTTCTAAATTTTTCAAAAAGAAAAATCTTTTCAAACCATGTTGTCTTTTCTTTGTCCGCAAAGACAACCAGCTTGCAGCCATCACTCGATCGCCAAGTGACGAACATTTGCTTGACAACCACAGGTGGTCCAAAGAGTCGAGTCCAAAAAAGGATTCTACCTTAGCTGGCTACAATAGCTAGCTATTGAGTAATAGTTGTCAACTTGATGCTATATTGACAGACCACAATGAAACATGAGATTGTTTGTGTGACAGCAGTCTATGTCTTCCTCTTGCTTGCCTCTCCAAGCCAAACAGCCGACGCTTTTCTACTCCCAAGACACCAGAGTTCCGCCAGAATACATGACACTGTACCAAGCTATCCTACAGCAGCAACTACAGATCCCAGAGCCTCGGAACCACAAAAATCACCCCGAGGAGAAGCAGACAAGCATGAACAAGTGCAGCTGCCCAACTTGACGCAAGTGGATGTGATTTATGGTTCTAAGACATCTCTCGTGTACGACGCCAAGACAGAACGGTTTCTTCCCACGGCGGCCATCCGTCATGCATTGGACGAGTTTCAGTATGGCCGTGTACAAGACGACAACAATAAGAATATCCTTCGAATAGTGTCACCCCTCTTGAACAGTCCACCCATCACGGCCTGTCGCAAGCTAGTGGCATACCATGTCCAACCATACCTTGCGGCTGCCTTTGTACCAGAAGGTGTCACGCCAGCGTATCATCGCTACACGCGATGGAGGGTCCTGCAACGATGGGTCAATGCCAATCTACAAGTATTTGGAACACAATCACTACTACTAGGATTGGGGATCAAAACAAAATCACTCGCGGCATACAGTGCCGCACTCAATTGGGTATTAAAGGATGCCTTGGGAAAGGTGGTCCGTCTCATTTGGGCATCTAGAATGGGGGGCAAATTTGACAGCGACGCCAAGAGATGGAGAATGCGAGCTAGTTTTTTATATGCACTCGGAAATGGAATGGAAATTGCCTGCTATGTCTTCCCGCAAGTATTCTTGCTATTTGCCACCACGGCCAATTGCTGCAAGCAAATGAGCATGTTGACCTGTTCGTCCACTCGAACGGCTCTCTACAATTCCTTTCGAGACGGGTCTCGGGAAAATATTGGGGATATCACTGCCAAAGGAGAAGCATCCATTGCGGTAGTCGACTTGTTGGGGATTGCCACGGGAGTATCCTTATCCACCAAAGTGGGAACTTCCGTCGGAGCCGTGCTCTCCGTCTACGCACTCTTGCAGACCATTGAGATTCTCTGCATTTACAAAATGATGAGAAGTGTACAGTTTCGAGTACTCAATTTCGAACGGCTCTGTCAAGTTTTGAATGCATTCATTGGGTCATTGCCAACGTCATCAGCATCGTCAAACTCGACGTTGGCAATACCCAACAATGCCCAACAGGACGTACCAAATAATGGTGCCACCTTTAATAATGGTGCTGTGGAGCCAATACTATCATCTACCAAAACAGTTATTGCCCCTGATGAAATCCAGATTAAAACTCCCGAAGAAATGGCCCTGACAGAGAAAATTCTACAACCACCCGCCCACTTGGCACGGCGAGCGTTTGCATTTGGATCGCTGGGACGAGCCAGGTTAGACCCCGAAGAGTTGAAACAGTTGCTAGATATCTTTGCCAGAGAAAAGTTTCTACTAGTGGTGGGAAAGAACATGAAAGCCCCACGCCGTGGAGTGTTGAAGCGATTGATGCGACGTTTCAATGCGCTGGAAAAGAATCCCCGTCGTTGGAACATTCAAGAAAATTGTCACATTGTGTTGCACACGGAAGCCACCAATGCCGATATCGTCAAGAGTTCTTTGGCACTCTTGCTTCTTCGGAAAAAGTTGTCCCTGCTTGGGGACGTGCCGGATCCGGATGAGATCCGAAGTAGAGATTGTTTGGATCTGATTGACGAATCATGCCAACAAGCAGACCGTCTCTTGCCTAAACTACTGCGACAAATGCAAATCAAGGGATGGACATCTCCGGCCCGATTCATGTTTGGAAGGGTGACTATGAGGGCTGATTGGCCAATAATTCAGCCAAGAGGCAAAAAGAAGAGTGAACGATGAAGCATGTATCTGTGATATTGGGTGATGACAGAAGTTGGATGTTTTGGTTTGTCTATTGAATGTCAAGCTGCGTTTGCAGCAGTGATGCGTTATTTCTAGAACTACCAGCCACCCTGAAAGATGACTTGGCCATGGGAACAGCTTTGACAGCTAGAGCTGTGATTTCTGGCAACAATTCCCAAGGCAATGACCCGTTCCCTGTCTTTCGGAGGGCACAAATTGTGGGTTCAGTCCCTTCTCGAGCGTCTACAGCCACATGAACTTGACAAAAGCAGCACGCCTCTTCTTCTAGAGACGCATCCAGCAAAAGCAGGTAGGAATTGGTGAGTGCTCGATGACACACTGTAACCGTGACGACCACTGCAGCATTGTCAATCCCCGATGGAGTCTGAGCCAGGCTAAGATCTGACTCCAACATGAGATCTGAAGAAGACGAACCGACTGGGTCCATGGATGTCCCAGCATCGTTGACAATGGAGGATGGAACAACTTTGGGTAGAAGTGTATTTTGGAGAGCTGCTCGTATTGCGTGACAGCAGGCATCAATGATGCTTCCTGCAGTACCCGAGAGAATCTCAACATCCACACTGACGTTGAATGCATAGTGATATGGGATAATGCATAGACTTTCCAGGTCGATAAGATTTGTAGCCAGTAATTCAGATATGATGGACTGCACTCTGTTCCGGTCTTCCTCGTTCTTCTTGCGAGACAGTGAGGAGTTCGCAGCAAGGCTGTCTTCCACATGAACAATGAGATTCCCTTGGTTTGGTTGCGACTGCGAAGGAGTCATCACTTCCACTTTGACACTGCAAAGAATGTGAGTGGAAGTAGAACCAGAAGAGGACAAGATCAGACGCGCCGATCCATTCGAGAGCATCAATGGCGGGTGTCCATCCGCCGATGTTGTCTCGGAACTGGTAACTATTGTGTATTGGCGAATATCCTCCCTTTCCCTCCCATCCAACCGACAGTTATCAGCACAACCATCAATCAAGTATAGCTTTTCTGATTCGCTCAGCTGCAGTGCCAACCCGGATGCCATTGTGTTGCTTCCTCCTACTAGCTATATAGTACCGGTACTAGCTACTAGTAGTATGTCCAAGTTCCTCGCGTCGTTTTGAAATGGTGTTGTCCACAATGTTTTTCTGGTTGGCTCTCGGAGTGGTCAAATGTGCGACCAACGACAGCATAAGTACACGTACACGTAGGCGATTTGGAATTGTTTTGATTTTGCTAAAAGGGAGGATTTTCAAATTTTGGCCTCAGTCACCCGCCACGAAAACTGGAGGACTAAGAGCTGCGGTACGGTGGTGTACAAAGTGCCACACAAGGACAAAGGGGCTATCCCACCGCCTGAACAGCATACATCGTACACCCACATTATTTCTGTGCCGTACCAACCTCTGACGAGGCCATCAAATCACAGCGACATGCGCATGCTTATCTTACAGCTAGCTACAACCATCGGCATGGCTGAATGCAGCCCGCAACAGCAACCAGCCAGAAAGCCAAATACCCCAACCAAAGAAACGAACCATCACATGGCAATGCTTCAACCATCCGTCCGACATTTGCGCTTGGGCCTCGTCTTGCCGGCGTTGGGGGTTGGACTCACCATGCTCTTCTGGTTTCGTTTGGCTCCCCTCGTGGATCGGTTTGAATCTCGTAGAGGCTTTGCCTTTGGAGTTTGCTTCTCGTCCTCGTCACTGCTTTGTGCAGGATCCATGCGGGTACGCTTGGTGGGGCTGCTGAGGACGGATGCCTCGTCATTCGAGGGATCGACGCTGACTTGCGAGGGAATCGGAGGAGCCCCCCGCTTGGTGCTACGCTTTGCTGCCTTCGTTTCCTTGCCGTCGGCCACATGTTCCTTCTCGGGCGCTTTCTTTTCCTCCTTTGCAACATCTTTGGTGCGTCTGCGGTGACTCTGTCTTGGTGGCTGTGTCTCGAGTTTGTCTTCGTCCTCGCTGTCCCGAGAGCTGGTTTCCTCCTCTCGACGTTTGGTGCGGTTGCATTTGGCGGGTGTCGTCTTTGCGGCATTGTCTTCGTCCTCGCTGTCCCGAGAGCTGTCATCCTTCTCTCGGCGTTTGGCAGGTGTCTTCTTCGTCGGCTTCTCCTCCCCTTCATCATCGCTGTAATGTTTCTCTCCGCGTTTGCTGCGTTTGGCAGGCGTCTTCTTTTTTTGCTTCTTCTCAGCTTCGCCCTCGCTGTCTGAAATGTCAGAGAAGTTGGGCCGCGCGGGAGATGCAACCATCGGA